CACGATTTCAGATGACCGCTTCAAGACCAAACGGAACATTCAATTTTATGTAGTCAGACACGGTAGTTTCACGTCTTCACGTGACCGCCGTTCCAGAGCGTTTTCGCCGCCCTTCTCGTGCGACCCAAATTTGGAACAGGTAGTCGGGACATCATTCCCCTTTGACAAAAGATCGCGGCAATTCGGAGTCATCGTGAGGGGCTTAGCGCCCCGCCAGGGATACCTAGCGGTGACCTAGCGCGCGCGGCGCCAGCCATTCTTGTCGAGGCAGATGGATATGCTCGTCTGGCACGAGCTATGCGCCATCCGGCATCTGGGTGCAGATATGGAGCGCCTGGGCCGCGGCCAACGCCCTTGTCAGACGCCGCCGACCCGCCGGTCTGAGGGGGCCCCCGCGCGTCTGGGATTGCGACGACCCGCCCCCGACCTTCAACTCGACAACCTGCTGGTCGCCTCGATTGGCGCCCAGCTCAGGAGTCGTAGCCGCGCCGACGAAGCCAGCCGCATCAAGGGTCAGAGCGGCCAACAACTCCAACGCCGTCTAACGTCCGCGCCCCGCGCAATGGGCCCCCGCGCGCGCCGCCAAGCACTGCCCCGAGCGATACGAGGAAAGACAGCTCCCCGGCGGAAGGCGCGGATGGCGCCGACGCACATTCACGCTCTTGAGACGCGTCTTCCACCGCCCCGAGCGACCCCGTCTCGGACAATGAAAGCGACGCCGATGAAGTTGCACCGATGCAGACTTGACAGATCGCTATCTTGGCCAACACCAGAGCCACGCTCAAACTCATGACGGACACGTGGGGGCCCATCTTGGGCAGATGCCGAAACTCTGGGCCCCGCTCCGACAAAGCCCTCCTGCGCGGGAAGGCTTCAAGGCGGTGTGCCACCAGGAACTCCCCGAGCTGGCACCAGCCCAACCGTTCGTCTTGACCGACGTTGCCGCCGTCCACTTCGCGCGGGCCCGGCCCAGCCCCAGCGCTGGAGGCTTGGGCGGGTGGACCACGAGTGAAGCCAAGGCGCCCCCTGGCAAAGGCTCCCGCCTCTTCGCTGAAGCGCTGGGAACTATGCAACGCGCGGGGCGAGTCTCCCAGTCTCTCCTGCGCGCGCCGAATCCATGCCTTCGGAAAAAAATGTGAGCTCCTTACCGTCGAACAGCTCGTCTCCGCCATGCCCATCTGGGTGAGCGCCTGGGAAGCGCCAGTTTGCCGCGGCCTGGCGCCCTGGAGAGTCTCCGGAGAGCCCACCGGGCCCGCCCCGCGAGCTTCGGCGCGGTTCCTCGCGCCGCAATAGGGGACGCCAGCGCGACTTTGGCATTCAAGGTCGAGCATGCGCGCCACCTCCACGCCCCCCTGGCCGGGGCCGCTCTGGACCGGCGGAAATGTTTCGACTGTCTCGTCGCGGGCATTTGCCCCAACCTGGCGCTTCGCGCGCGATGCTCGCCCGGCGCTGTTCATGCCGGGCGCTATCTCTATGACAGCCGCTCGAGGCAACCGCCCGGGCGGCGCTCACTCCAAACTCTTGGCGCGCACCAGCGGGCACCTGCAAGGCAGTTCTTCCTCCCTTGACGACGCGGAACTCCTCGCGCGCGCTCGGTCGAAGCGACAGCGGTGGCACGCGCCCCGCTCGCTGAGCACAGCGCGCGTGGGCGACGGCAACTCCGCGGCCCCCGCGCCGCGCTTCGTTCGACGAGACCGTCCTCTTTGACCCGGCGTCTGGCCGCAAGATCCACCCTGGCGATGCGATCGGCTGGGCCGCGGGCGATGAGCCCCACCACCTCGTGGCCGCCCTTTTGCGGGCAGCCGATGCAAGCTTGCCGCCGGGTAGAGCTCGCAGGGAGCTACGTGAAGGTGGGCGCTCGTTGCGGACCCCGGGCGACGCCCGAGCTAACCTGGGCGCCGCAGCTGGCGCCGGGGCACGACGGGCCGTCGCCAGACCCCCACATGTCGGTCGGCCCCCCGAAGGCACCCAAGCGAGGGCTCGGGCGGGCAGGTCCCTCGTCGCCAGCACGTGCACCAGTGGCGCGGGCATTCAAGCGCCCAGCCAGAGAGCCAGAAACCTATGCAACCACATTGTGTTCGTGGCCAGTCGGCTCAAGGAACATCCTGGATCTCGCAATTGGCTCACTGCGCCCTCGTTGTTCCAGGTTGAGCGGTCGAACCTGGCGCTGTCGTGCAGATGGAAGCTGCGCGCGGGCTCAGAAGGCAGGTGCGGCGAGGCATCGGTCTCGACAACGAGTCCAAATATCTGCGGGGCGATTCGCAAGCCGTCAAGGAGGAGGCCCAGTGGGTGGATTCGGGCAAGCCATTGTTCAACTCGGCTGGAGCTGGCCAAGCTACCGCACGATGAACGATGACAGGGGCACCCGCCTGCCATGGGTCCCTTCGCGAGCAGGGCTGTTCACACAGACGCTCGGCGCATCGCAGAGAAGGTCCTTCCTACGAGGCATACCAACCACTAGACACGACCTGTGGGCCGTCCCTGCAGTCAAACAGGGCTTTGCTTACTTCGCAATGTGGCTGCTCCGCATGTTGAAGCAAGGCCAATTGCACTGCTTGGCAACCCGGTCCCCCCCAAGAACCTCTGCGGGGGTTGGCCGCGACCGCTTGAGAAAAGCGCGGGCGGGCACCTCGGCCGACCCGCCCACATGGTGCGACCCAGAGGAAATCAGGGGCACTCCGTCTAGACATGCCCATGTTGGGAACCCGAGAGGACTGATATGAAATCCAGGCTCGCCGAGCATTTGTGGCGAGACTTACCGCCGCGCGACAGACACTGCGGCCTCCCGTCAGAAGCTCCCCAGCGCCTTGATCTCCAGGTCGGGCTCGCCGAGCACGGGCTCCCGCGGCCGCTCCCGCGGCCGTCGACAGATGACGGTGACCTTTGCGAGGGCTGCGCCGACGGGCGCGGGGGCCTTCGGGTCTGCGTTGCCACCGATGGAGTCTGCTCCCGCCGAGCCCACCCGCTCCTCGCCAGGGCTGGTCTCGGTGCGCACTGCGGCCCCGACCGTCGGCCCAACCACTCTGCCCGGGTGCGCTGTCTGGCGCAGTCCGCGCAGAGAGTCGATACGCAGGCCGCGCCTCATCTCGTCGCCACAGCCGAACGGACCGTTACATCTTGGTTGTCAGCCAACCTGTCGCAGACGGATCCGAGGATTTCCTCGTCGGCAAACCGCCGCCTCGCGTGGGTGATTAGGCCGGCCTCGGTCTCGATATCCACCGGGTTCGAAGGGCCAAGCCTGGCGCGTTCAGAGCCCAGAAGTTCGACGGCCACCAGGGCGAACCAGGCATCAACGAGGGGCGCGTCGCGCCAATCGTAGATGCTTTAAGTCGCCACGCCGATGAAGCCGCCACTGCCCGCGCGCGTCGCCACGGCCTGCCGCGAGGCCTCGCCGACGCCGCCAAAGGCCATTCCAGGGCGGAACCCAGCAAGATGAGGCCGAATCCGCTCGCCACAGGCCATGGCGGGCATGGGCCACCGGGCCCAGCGGGCGGCCCCGACCACCCCAGCGGCCCACCAGGACCCGACTAGTCACTTCGATCACCTCGATGGTCCTTGGTCGGACCTGCTCGACGATCTCGGCGGCAAGGACATCGACCCGCTCGGGCTAGGCGCCTCAATGAAAGTCGACGAAGGCCACGCGCCCCCCCCCCCTCTCACATGGTCATTGCAGAGATGACCACAGCAGCCACGACGACCATCATGTCGCGAGCCAGGCGAGCATTTCCAACGAGCACGATCAAGCCGCCTTCGGTCTCCGAGACCAGGTCGCCGTCAACAGCCCTCGCCGACGCCAGGCCAGTTCCTCCTCCCACGAGGCAGCGGAGGGTAGCGAACGGCCGCGGACCGCCAGGTGCCCATCGGACCGACCGTAGGCAATCTTTCACGCAGCACCTTTCAGGTGGCCTGCCGGCAGCCTGGCGGTGACCGCGGATCGGAATTCATTTAAAGCATCAACGCATTACATTAGCGAGCCAACCGCTTCGCCCAATCCCTCCAGCACGTCGCAGTCAGCCCACCTGCTATGCAGATCTCCGAGCTTCCAGGCTTTCCTTGCTGCTTAGCGCGCGGCGCACCAGTGCTAGCGCTTTCCCCTTCGCAGGCGGTTCCGCGAACTGTTGGCTCCTGCTCCGTGGCTTTATTTCTGGGCCGTCGCGGGGGGGCGGGCGGGCCTCAAGGCGGCGCCGTCAATGTTTGGGCGTCGTATCGCGCATGCCAGAGTGTGGGTGCAAGCCGGCGTCTCTCTGTTTTGCGGGTGTGGAGAAGGGGCGAGCATCGTCTTTATCGCCACGTCCCGCCTCTGCTTTCCGGTCGATGTCTTCGCAGACCGCGCCATGGGGGAGGGTAGTTTCCACGCCCTTGATCGCTCGCGCGGCACCTTCCGCCACGTGAGGTTGACGCGGAGGGTACTTGCAGCCCTCGCGCCAACTTGACACCGGCCCGCCGAATTGTAGCGATCTCCTGTTCCCTCTCCTGCTCCCCCCTGCCTCCTCCGTCCTCCCTCCCTCGTCCCGTTAGTTTCTCCCTTCCACCTCGTTCGGAAGGGCCGCCGATGTCTCAGCTGACCCTCTTCCGATTCGCCCCCCCCCCTTCCGCCCTCAACCTCCCCCTTCGCTTTCTCCCCGCCCGTCCTTCGTGGGGGACGCGACGAGAAGGGGGGAACACAGGGTTAATTTCGATGTTTCCAGGTCCGATACGATTCGGCTTCGACGGGTTAAGAATGCGATTCGACTTCGACTTCAGACTCCACTTTGGAATTTGTTTTCGCAATGGAGGCTTGGGTGGCCTGCCGATTTCCGCCGATCCGATTTCTCCCGGCTTGGCTGCCGCATGCCGCTGGTCGAACTCATTCCGCTCGCCGATCCAAACTTATCGATCCGATTCTGGGCTCTCCTGGGGGGCGCAACGAGGAGGGGGGAACTCGATTGGCCCCCAGGTCTTTCTGGGAAACTTGCCGACGGGGGCCTCACGGGTGCTCGCGGTGTGGGGCTCCCGCGAAATCCTCCACCCCGTCGGTTGTCCGGCCCGCCATGGCAGATTCGCCGACGTTGCACCGGATCACCTCTTCGGCCTTGCTGAACCCCGACGTGGTGAGCGAGGCCAAGAACACCTTCGTCAGGCTGGTATCGGGGGAGTCGACCAAGGAGCAACCAGATGCTCCCTCTCTGCTGCTTCTCGCCTGTCTTCCTCGACTCTCCTCCATCGTCCCCCCTCCTCCCTCCTCATCCCGCTCCCTCTCCCTCCTGCTCCCTCTGCCTGCCCCGCCTGTTCCCTCTTCATGTCCCGCCTGCTCCTCCACCCTCGTTGAGGAGGACCTCGCGGTCGAAGGTCCTGGCGGCGCAGCAAATGATGAGTTTACAAGGCGGCGCTCGACCTCTCCGAGCGGCCGTGGGACGTCGCAGCTTGAACAGCAGCCTCTGGCACCAAGGGACGCTCGCCACAGCCGCCCATCCAAACCAGTCCAATCTAACCCAACCCCATACGATAATCCGATCCGATCCGATCCGAGTCAGTCCTCCTCCCTTCTCCCCCCTCCCCCTCCTCCCTCTCTGCTGGACCCTAGGCCCAAGTGGCCTCGAGAGTGTGTCCAGGGGGGTTCGGGGGGGGGGAGGGGGGCTCCTCCTCCTGCCCGTGCTACCCCTGCCTCCTGCCCATCCTGGTCTTGCTCCCTCCTCTTCATCTCCCTACCCTGCCCTCTGCATCATCTCCTTTCTCCTCTTCGCTACGCCCTCCTCCTTCTCCCTGCTTTTCCCTCGTGCCCCATGAGGCAGGGTTGGGGAGGAGGGAAGATCGGGTGAATGGTCGACGCGATGTACCCCCAAGGCAGCCGGGGCCAGTGACAGGACGCCGTGGATCATAGTGGGCCTCTTTCTGGGCTACGCCTACTACAACACCCTGCGCGGAGCATTCCCAATACAGATGCGCAGGATCTCCAGACATCTGGCGCCACAAAATATTACGACGGCCAGTTGCTTCCTTATTGCTTGGCCTCTGCAGGGCCGTGTTGGGCCTCAGGCCCTACAAACAGAACCTTTGACGCAAGCCGGCCGGGGGGATGGGTCGGGCGGGGCTAGGACGGGGGCCGATCTGTTCCAAAGCGTTCCGGAACGCTCTCAGAGCGTTCCCGAGCGCTCTGAGACGGCCGCGGCGCTCGATACATCCCGCAGAACCGCCGCATCTCATATATTCCCCATTCATCCTCACCCGATGATGCCCTCGTCATGGCTGCGTCTTAATGGGGTCTAGAACAGGGCCGGTGGAGGTAAAGGGAAGGGCAGGTCTGCTGGCGGAATCTAGGCGGACATAAGTGTTTACCGTTTGATTCCCCTAAAGAGAGAGGTCGGCGCCAGTGACCCCTCTTGGGCAGTTCCCCGAGGCAGCCCTCTTGAAAGCCGGCAGCTGTACGCTGGCATTGGTACTTGTCGGGCTCTTCCTGGGTCCTGGATGGGTGCACGTACAGAGCCCTCAGCAAGTCGTACACCAATCATCGGCCCAGGAAGGCCCCAGTCCCCAGGATCGCAGAGGAGTTGAAGATTCCCGTCAGCAAGATTGGGTTGCCGAACTCGGTTTTCTCCGCGGCCTACGGCCTGGGGAAGTTCTTCGGTTCGATCCTGACTGATTACCTCCCATGCGCTGAGTTCCACACACTGGGGATCTTGCTCTGCGGCATGGACGTCGCGGCTGTCAGTCTCTGCCGGGGCATTGGCAGCATCGCGGCTGCGTGGAGCCTGCAGGGTGCTTTGCAGGCCCTCGGTTGGCCCTTTCTGTCGCGTGTTCTGCTGGACAAGCTTCCCAAGGAGCAGTGTGCGAAGTATTGGGGCGTCCTATCCATGGCTGGCAATGTGGGCGCGATGGCGGCGCCCTATGGCACACTGGCAACGACCCGCCTCGGCATGTCCTGGCGTAGCACCCTCCGCAGTTTTGGAGCGAGCTCAGCCTTTGTCACGCTTGTAGTCCACGCAATGCTCCGCCGAGGCGGCGCGAGCAAATCCTCGAAGGCCGCCGTGGCCAGTATGAGGACAGATGACGGCTCGAGGGCCGAGAAGGCGCAGGTCGAGGTGAAGGCGGCCAAGGCCACCTTCCGCGCTGCCATGCTGAAGATTCTGCGCAGCCCGGCGATGTGGGCCCTCTTCTTTTGCAACAGTCTCAGCTTCGGGGCCTCCAAGTGCACCAAAGAGTTCGAATCACAAAAACCGGCATACCTATACTTTCGCGCGGATTTCCTGGGTCGTCGCCTGAGCCTCCCTGGCGGCGCCTCTGGCGCCGCCCCTTGCGCTCTCCGCGCGCCAAGGATGGGGTCCAGCGCCGATTCAAGACATCCGCGGTGACCTCAGAGAAATCATGCTTTAGCATGTGCTCGTTCCTCCAGGAGTGGGGCTCCATGTACCTGCGCGGCACCGGCCTCGCCGCCACGGAGATGCAGACGGCCACCCTCTTGTTCTGGGCCGAGATCGGCGGCTCCCTGGGCGCCGCCTTCTCGGGCGTCGTCTCCGCGAGCCTGGGGGGGCGCCACGCGCTGACCTGCACGCTCTCGGCCCTCCTCGGCCTGGCCTCCACTTCCGTGCTGGCGGTCAGGAGCTTCGCCTGGCGGGGCCGCGGCGGCGCCCCGCTCTCCTTCGGCGCGGCCTGCGCCCTGCAGGCGTGCAGCCTGGCGGGCATCAACGGGGTCAGAACCCTCGCTGGACCGCGGAGCTGCCATGGGGGCAACGAGAGACCAGCGAGGTCGCATCCTCCTTCCCCATCCGCCCCTCCCCCCCCCCTGTGTCCACCTCTCCCCCTCGGGGGAGCGAGGCGAAGGGGGAGGACTCCAGGAGGGAGATCAGAGGAGAAGGGGGTGAGGGAGGAGAGGGAGGGAGGAAGGGTGGCGGGATGCAGGAGGGAGGACGGATAGATGATAGGGAGAGAGCGAGAGAGAGGAAACAAAAAAATGCAGGGTTGAGGCAGCAGGGAGGAAGGATGAAAGGGTGTTGAGGGACGAGGGAGGAGGGAGGAAAGAATTTTGAGAGAGATGGTTGGAGGAGAAGGAGGAGATAGAGAAAGAGGATGTGAAGGTGGGGGGCAGATGAGGATGATGAGAGTGAGGGAGGAGAAGGGAGCAGGGCGAGGGGAGGCGGAGGAGGACCAGAGTAAGTTCAGGATGCACCAGCGTGCTGCAATACACCCTCTGGTATCACGCCCCTTCCTAATCAGTTCAAACATTCCTTTTCGGTGCGCGAAGCGCTTTACCTGAACTACGAGCGTGCTATGGGCCCGAAATCCTGACGTGAGCTCCGTGTTGAAGGACACTGCTCTCCATCCTCCGCGCTGTATTAAATGCGACAAGGTGGCGTCATACAGTTCAAGGAAGTGCTCCGCGACAGCCCCGCTTTGAAAAAGAGCCGCCCTGCATCCTTGTAGCTGCTGCGCAGTATCAGGGCCCTGCTGTGAAAAGGAGACAACCGCCAATAATCTGCGGAGTTGTTGCACACGTCTAGAGTTGCGGTGTTCGTCTGAGGAAGTGTCGTGCGATATGTCCGCTCTGAATACGTGCTGGCCTCCATCTAGGTAAAGATCTACATTGTCTGACACGCATGTGCGTGGCGCTGAAGCGAGGGAACCACATGTTGCAAACGACCAGCCCTCCATCATTGTACGTAATTGTCCGAAGGTTTTTCAGACGAATGCGCGCGGCGCCAGGGCGAGAGGCACATGTTGAAACAACTGGCCGCCCATCCGTGTAACTGTTTGGATGTGTTGGCTTCGGGATAGGAACTTGGAAGGACGTCTCAAGCGATCCCCAGCGCCTGGCATACGGACATACCTGGCGGTTCAAAAGGGAGGAGTTATGTAAACGGAAGAGAGGTGTAGGAGGAGGGGTGACGAGAGGGGGGGTGCAGGGGAGAACCGGCAGGACGGACAGCAGGCGGAGGGAGCTTGCAGGGAGGAGCGAAGACGGGGGATGGAGCAGGGTTGGGGAGGGGATGGGGGGGGGCAGGGCAGGGAGGGAGGAGGGCGGAAGGCAAGAGGGGAGGTGGCTCGAGGCCGAATGACGGGAGGAGGGAGAGAATAGCGAGACCCATGATGCTGAGTGGGCAGTTGGACAGGAGGGGGGAACAGGTGGAGAAGCGGGAGGAGGAGGAGGAGGAGGAGCAGGATGAGGAAGATCAGGAGCAGGCACAGGAGCAGGGGGAGGGCCAGGATGAGAAGCAGGAGGAGCAGGGGGGGGGTAGGATTTACACGGTGGATGAGGGGGGGATGATCGGAGTATGGAGGGCTGGACGATGGGAGGGATGAGGGAGTAGGATGAGGAGAAGGAAGAGAATAACGAGGATCACGAAACGGAGGAGGAGGAGGAGGAGCATGAGGAAGGAGGAGGAGGAGGAGGAGGAGGAGGGCGGATGGCTGAGGCAGGGAGAAGTTCAAACGCGGAGGGAGGAAGGAGGAGGGCGGACAGAGGAGGAAAAGGTGGGTTGAGTGAGGAAGGAAGCAAGGGCAGGGAATAGGGAGGCAAAGATGGAGAGCCGGAGGGAAAGGCAGAAAGGGAAGGACAGAGAGATACTATGAGAGAAATGATGAAACAGGAGGCATCCAGAGGGGTGAAGGGACAACAGCATATCATAGGGATCGGAGACGGAGGAAGAGGAGGAGGAGGAGGAGGAGGAGGAGGAGGAGGAGGAGGAGGGATTAGACGCAGGAGCAGCACGGTCAGCACTCAAGCGTCCGAACGCGCCGAGAGAAGGAGTAGGAGGGTGAGGAGGAGCGGAGCAGGAGAAGGATGACGATGAGACGAACGAGGATGAAGATGAGGAGGAGGAGGAGGCAAGGCAAGGCAAGGCAAGGCAATACCTGGGCCGCTGCTGTCTCCTGCTGTGGAGGCTCACCTTTACTGGGCGAGTGCTCTAGCCACGACAATTGCTGCTGGTAACTTCAACGCACTCTCGGGCAAGCCTGCGGGACCAAATGACCCATCTCGGACCTTGAAGGCCCGCGTTAGCACGAAGGCGCAGGAAGGCTCAGAGATCGGAGGCGTAGAACTCTTGGGCCCGTAACCTCCACCTCGGGGCTGTTGAGTGTGAGTGGAGGCCCCAGGGGGTTCCAGGGCCTCTGGGGAAAACTCACAGTGAACAAAAAAGCAGTGCAGCTGGACCACTTCGGACCCGTGCTGTGTATGTTGGTACGCCTCCGTGCTGCTTTGAGTGCCCTTCTCCACCCTCACACTCCCCCCCCACTCCCACCCACAAATAGCAAATAATTATGGAAAAGGTGCGGACACTCTCTGTCAACACCTAGCTGACCTGTGCTGTGCAGGTCGCGAGGTGCGGAAACTGCCGATCGGCTTGGAGCATATGGACGTTGAGCGACCTTCACAGCTTAGTCCCTCAGTCCGCACATCTGGCCGCCCGAGCCGATTACCCATTCCAGCTCTTTGTCGGTCTTGCCAACGATGCCAATGTCCTCCCACTCCTTCGCCGGGCTGTCGGGAAGGTTCAGCGCCCATTCCTCCATGTCGGCGCACGGTGCTTCCATCCCCTTCGCCGCTAAGGACACCAGCTGGTCATACACCATGTCGGCGAATGCGGTGGGCTTCGCAGCGAAGGCGTGCTGCTGTTCATCAGAGGCATTATGCTCTTTTAATGCGTTCAGTTGTCCTGAATGTCGTTGTGCTGCTCCTGGAAGGTGTGCTGCTGCTCGCTGGTTGGCCGCTGGTCCTTGAAGGCGTGCTGCTTAACGAAGTCGCGCTGCTCCTCAGGGGTTTTCTGCTGCTCCTCGACGGCGCGATGCTCCTCAGATGTGCGCTGCTTCTCCTCGAAGGCGTGCTGTGCCTCAAACTCGTTCTCCGCGAAGGCGTGCTTCTCCTCGAAGGTCTGCTGCTCCGTGAATGCGCGTCCCTCCACCGCGGTGTTCTGCTGACCCGCGAAGGCGTGCTGCTCTTCAAGGCGTGCTGCTTCTCCTCGTAGGCGTCCTGCTCCTCGTAGGCGTGCTGCTCCTCACAGTCGTGCTGCTCCTCCTCGGAGGCGTGCTTGTCCGCGTAGGCGCTCATCTACGTGAAGGTATGCTGCGCCGTAAGGGCGTGCTGGTTCTCGAACGCGTTCTCAGATTGCCCCGCAAAGGCGTGCTGGTCCACGAGAGCTCTCAGTTTGTCCTCGGGGCCACGCTGCTCTTCGCAGGCGTCCTGTTTCTCCTCGACGGCGTGCTTCTCCGCGAATGCGTGCTGCTCCTTGCACGCGTTCTGCTGCTCCTCGAAGGCTCGCTTCTCCTCAGAGGCATGCCTTTCCTCGAAGCCGATGTGCACCGCGCGCGCCATGTGCAGCCTTAACCTCTAGTCCGTGCGGCGGCGCGCCTCGGAGCGGCCCAGAGAGGGGTGCCACAGCCCCAGGCGGGGCGGGCAAGCACTTCATCTTGGAGCACTACCTTCGGCCTCTCCACAAGAACCTCCCCTCAGTCTTTGTGCTTCTCATTGCCCCCAGGCCGCCGTCGGCCCGAGGAGCGCCATGTCCGTCTGGTGTCAGGACTTGTCGGTGGTGATTGTGCGTACGTTGCCTGGAACTCCGTCGGGCCTCTATGGCAGCTGTAGGAGGAGGAGGAAGAGGAGGAGGAAGAGGAGGACGAGGAGGAGGAGGAGGAGGAATGACGAGGACGAGGAGGAGGAGGAGGAGGAGGAGGAAGGAGGGGGAGGGAGGAGGAGGGAGGAGCAAGGAGGGAACCCCGCGGCGCAGACCTCCCGCCCTTCCCCCCAGGACTGCACCTCTTCGAGGCGGCCCGCTCGCTGCACGCGCGGGGGGAGGAGGACGGTAGCGACGACGACGGCTGCGGCGACGACAACGACGACCAGCGACGAGCGACGAGCGACGGACGGACGGAAGACGGGACGGACGGGCGAGGACGAGGACTACGATGAGGACGAGGACGACGGCCGCCTCTGAAGGTCACCCGATGTCTCTGGAGGTGATGATTGTAGTGATCATGGTGGTGATGGTAAAGATTGCGGTGACGAAAGCGTTGACGTTGGTGGTGATGGTGACTCTGGTGGTGGCGACGCGGATGGTGGTGGTGGTGGTATTGGGGATTGTGATGGTGATGGTCACGGTGATGGCGATGATCGTTTTGGAAATGTGATGTGCACATGTTGATGGGGATGCGTTCGAGGATGACGATGCTGCTGATGATGTGGAGCAGCAGCAAGGAGAGGAGAGCGATGGACGAGCCCGCTGACCTCCGCCCTGGAATGGCGCGTCCCTTGCCTTAGCGCCCACCTTCGAGCCAGCCGCTGAACTTGAAAAGCTCCCACTCAGAATAAAAAATGTGGGGGATGAGGAGGACCAGGACAAACCCAGGATGCGTCAACGATGCTGCAGTAGACCTTCCAGTCCCAGAATCCCCCTCCAGGTGTCCCGACATGCACCCGTTGTTCTGCGGGAAGAGCCTCCTTGAAAGACGAGCGCCCATGGGCCTGCAGTTCAAGCGAGGGCCGCTCTCCATCCATCCGGCTGCAAGGACTACCCAAGAGCAGGCAGGATAACACAGGTCAAGGGGGTGTCTAGCGAGAGTCCCGTTTTGAGAAGATAAAGATTTCAAGCGTCTGTTCACGAAAGTCTTTGAGACCTCAAGTGATCGCTCCATTTTGCAGGGGAGCCGCCGTCCATCCGTTTACTGCTGCGACTTGCGGTATTTTGGTGGTCATTTCTTTTACGGTCATGCAGTTTTGGTTTGCGTG